ATCGATGGGCGATTCCATGATTGCATGGAGTCGCATGTGCATCTGACATGAACTCGGTAAATCACCGGGTTGGGTCAATTCACGAGTCAACGTGTGGATTTGTTGGTCAAACTTAAGTTTTTAATACTTTGAAATAACCCTAAAACTAGACTTTTTATGCAAGTTGCCTCCAAGCAAATTTTTTTCTCACTTTTTCCCATTAAAATATACTTTTCTAGCAAATACCCACAAGTAAAAAAATGTACATTTTTTTACGAAAATACCTTTTTTCGTATATAAAAATTAAATTTTGGTCGGACATTCATGTGGGCTTACATGGGCTGCAGGACCGTTCTTTGACATTGTCAGGCCCCTTTAAACTAAAAAAGTGTTGGGCCTTTAAACTAAAAAAGTGTTGGGCCCCATTAACTGCATAGGCCTGTTGCTTAACTGCATAGGCCTGTTGCTGAACCGCTCTTTGGTTGTTGCTGGACCGTCTTTGGCAGTGTCGGACCGCATGGGCCTATTGCCGGACCGTTCTTTGTCAGTGTTGGACCGCCACTTGTATCGCTGGATTGCCCTAAGCATATGCTAAACCGCCCTAAGAATACGCCGGACCGCCTTTTCATGTGAAAGATGAGAGAGAGGCGTGGTAAAAATATGGGAGGGTAGTTTAGACCTTTTTTTATTTATTTTTTGGGTTAGGAGGTATTTGCTAAAAAAATATATTTTGGGGTAAAAAGTGATAAAAAACTTGGTTGAAGGTAACTTGCATAGAAAGTCTAGTCTTGGTGGTTATTTGTAATTTTTCCTATTTTTTAAGAGATTTGTATTTGGATTAGTCTTTGACTAGTGTTCGACCATCCTGCAGGGTTTACTTGGAACCCCCTGGGTAAATCGTAACAAGAAACTGGCTGAGCCAGTTTAAGTGGTACTGTCGGGTATTTAAAAAAAAAAAATTATAAAATCCCAAAAAAATAAGGGAACTGTTTGTAATGTGTTTTTTAATGTTTTTTTTATCATTTTGACAAGGGTGTGATTTCCATAAGGTTTCTACCTTAAACAATCCAATTAAAGTGCACCTCCAAAATTTATTATGACATATAATTTTGATGTAAAATATTCTTAGGATTATCTCAAAATCTATTTTCACATCTAATTGTAAAATTTTAAACTCCAAAAATGGTTAAAATCAAGTAGATCTATAAATATATGGAAATCTTTAAAATGGATGGTTAAGATGCACTATTTTTAGGACTCAAAATTCTTTTTATTTTTTATAGTCATATATATCGATGTCGAGATGATCATTTAGAGTGTTTTTCAACATTAAAACAATATTTTCTGAGAGATTTTTTAGGTGCATCCGTAGTTCTACATTTTAACGTTGCAACCTTATATAAACTTTTTCCTTTTGACAAAGATTGCAAAGTGTTTTGGCTGTGAATACTTATTTTTATATTTTTTTCTTTTTTGGATTATTTTTAAAATGCACCTGATCACAAATTGATTTTTTAAAATCTATTTTTTTCCACTACTTTTCAACTTCATTTGGGTGTGTTTTGTTTAGTTATACTTTAAATATGCTTTCTTCTTTTTTTTGGGAAGTTCTTGTATTTTATTTTTGTCTTTAATACTTTTTGGCCCCACCGGGACCTTCTGCCCAATTAGACTACATGAACCAGTTGGTTTCCAAGTTCCTTGGACCCGTCCCTTGGCCGGTTTCCGGGGCTGCTTCATACAATCGAAACGAGAGAATTTTTAGAGAGAAGAAAGGCTTGATTTTCAATCTATTTTCAAGATTTCCACAGATCTACTTGATTTTAACCATTTTTTTGGTTTAAAATTTATAATTAAAGATGAAAATAGATTTTCAAAGAATCCTAAGAATGTTTTACATCAAAATTACATGTAATGATAAAATTTGGATGCACGCGTTATTGTTTAAAATTGCAACCTTATACAACCACACCCATAATTAATTATATACACCCACTGTTTAGTAGGTTTAGGGCTCGGCAACATGCCGAGCTTGAGTGACTCAAGCACGTCAAGTGGGATCAAATATTATTTTAGAAATTAAATTTAAAATTCCATGTAATAATGAAAATCCAACTCAAAGGAAGATTATCTCCTTCATCCAATTTAAAACAAATTTTACCACCTTCATCTAAACTCACTAACTCATTGTGTCCAATACAAATCTTATAAATAAATAAATTTTAAATTTTACAAAGTATATTCAGAAAGGAAATTAATGTAGCTTTTGTTTTGTTTATTATTTGATCACAAGAGAAACTTTACATGTGGTGTGATCTACATGTAAAACACATGTTTGATTTGAAGGGATGCTCATAGAGCTTCAGTCAGAATGTCATTAGAATGGGAAATTCTTTAATTATAGAAGGTGACTCTACCAATGTCATCAATTAGTATAATAGATCCTCTAGACCTTTATGGTACCTAAGGTCTATTTGATTGCAAGGTTTGGAATTATCTTCAGATGGCATTGTAATTTTTTGTCATGTTTATCGAGAGGCTGATGCCATTGCTGATGATTTAGCCAATGCAGGAGCTGCTTTAAATTAGTTATTATACAATCTTTGTTTTAAGCTTGTTGTCCTTTTTGCAAAGGCCTATTTGATCAAATAATATAAGGTATTCTTGTAAAAAAAAAAAAAATCTGAACGTTAGATCTTGATAAGATGACTCATAATAATTCATTTTAAAAATTTTATTCCACAAATCTTTTTCATGTGAAATTTAAGGCATGCCCACTTCTCATAAGGGTGTACCTGGTAAAAATATATGGAAGATATGTCTAAAAAAAATAAATTGGCTTAAATTCTCCTAAAACTTGTAAAGGCATTATGGTATTTTTATTTTATCATATATATATAAAAGAAAATTATGAGATTAGCCCACTAGCTCATATGAACAAATGAGCCTAACAGTCCAAATTGAACCTGAGCCGATCTGACGGTCACGACCTCATTTTGTGTTTGAATTTTAATTTTTCTTTCTATAAATTCAAAAAACTTGAAATTTTAGGCGTATATTCTTCTCATCAAAGCGTACCTAATAAAAATATTTTAAAAATAATTGGTAAAAAATAAATTGATCAAAATACCCCCAAAACTTTTCAAGGGTATTTTGATCAATTTATTTCTCGATAATTTTTTTTTAATATTTTTATTAGATTCTCCTATTTTTTAAGAATACAAGCCTAAACTTTCAAATTATTTGAATTCGTAAAAAAAAAAGTTCAAATTCAAATACGAAATGAGGTTGTGACCATCAAATCGGCCCAGATTTAATTTGAACCGTTGGGCTCATGTGAACACATGTGTTCATATGAGCTAATGGGCTAATATCAGCATTTTCCATATATATATTTATTGTTATATGCACCTTGCAAGCAGAGGACACAACCCAAATTTAATTTCAAGATGATGTGCATAATAACTTGAAAATAAAATAGCATTAAGTGTGTCATTATGACTAAAGTTATCCTAATCGTCCTTTTAGGTCGGACGGTTTGGAATAGCAGTCACATGTGTTTTGTACGTGGGTAGCACCGATATAAGAGTTTCCCATTTTGCTATTATGCATAAATAAAAATAAAATTTTCAGAAAAATGTCCCTATTATTTACAATTGAAAGTAATTATATGGATCCTTTTAAAACATTGTGTTCTCACCCCTTCTGCGATCTGGGTGAGTGTCATAGGAACATCAGACCTAATTTTTTCAATGGTCGTATAGCCAAAAGAGTTTATGCTCCCACAGAAGCAAATTATTGTCTATTTACTCCATGGGTAAAATAAGTAGAGCTTAAAATATAGAATTAACGTACACATCTAAAATCCTTCAAAAAACGTTATTTTGATGTTGAAGAAACGTCTAATTGATCATATCAACATCGAGATGTATAGATATGGAGAAAAAGAGAGATTTGAAATACTAAAAATAATACATCTTGCAACACATTATCTGGACCATCTACTTTTAAAAATTTCATGCGCATATAGATATGCCTGACTTGAACCATTTTTGAAATTTAAAATTTTATTATTAGAGATAAAAATAGATTCTCACACCAACCTAAAAATTTGCTTCACCCAAATTGCATCATATGACAAAGTTAGAGAGGTGCTCCACCTTACTTTGCTTGTTTACGATATACAAACCCCACCTAAAAGTCAGTGGAGCAACTCATTTTTTTTCTTTGTGATTTAACATCCTCAACCCAAAGATTAACTAAAACAAAGAAACTTCCACAATTACACTCTCTATGCGTTTGACAAAATAACATCTCGACATTGAAGTCCAAATTTCTAAAAGTGAGATCTAAGTGTAAGAAAAACTCGTAATTCAAATTTTTAATATTCTCTTGAGCACCAATCTACCCGAGGGAGTACGTATATAGTAACATCCTGCAGAAACATAGTATGCACTCTCGAGACCCGTAAAGCCTGAGGGAGAAATTGAAGAAGAACCAACTTTGAGAGAGAGGCAGAGAGAGTTGTGAACTAAGAGAGACAAAGAGAGAGTAAACTTAGAGAGAGAAAGACTTTCTAACCAAACCTAGAGAGAAAAGGAAATAGTGAACTTAGAGAGAGAAAGACTTTCGAACAAAACTTAGAGAGAGAAATAGAGAGTGAATATAGAGAGAGAAAGAGAGAGAACTTAGAGGGAGTTTTTAATCAAGCTTAGAGAGAGAAAGAAAGTGAACTTAGAGAGAGAGTAAGACTTTCGAACCAAACTTAGAGAGAGAAAGAGAGAGTGAACTTAGAGAGAAAGACTTTCTAACCAAACTTAGAGAGAGAAAGAGTGAACTTAGAGAGAAAAAGACTTTCTAACCAAACTTAGAGAGAGAATGAGAGAGTGAACTTAGAGAGAGAAAGACTTTCGAACAAAACTTAGATAGAGAAAGAGAGAGTGAACTTAGGGAGAGAAAAATTTGAGAGGGAGAGTTGTGAGCTTAAGAGAGAGAAACCAACCTTGAGCAGAAGAGAGTGAACTTAGAGAGAGAGTAACGAACTTTGAGAAAAAGTTGTGAACTGAGAGAGACAGTAACCACCTTCGAGAGAGAGAGAGTGGGGAGGGAGAATGTTTGCAACTCATTGCAATGCTCTCTCTCACCACCCGTTTGAGGCCCACAAGAAAACCACAGAGCGTCCTCCATTTCAAACACCACTTATGTTTCTATTGCACCATCACCCACTGTTCTGCCCTCGTTTCCAAGTATTTCTCTCTCTTAAATTCATCACCCAATCTCCAAATTCTTCAACAAATCCATGCCAAACTTCTCAAAACCTCTGTCTACAATGATGTGATACTCAATTCCAAGCTCATAATCATGTACTCTAAGCACAAGAGCCTCTTCCCAAATGCCTATAATCTCTTCCTTCACATGCCTGAGAGAAACATATATTCATGGAACATAATCATAGGGGAGTTGTCGAGATCTGGGTATCCATTGAAAGCCATTGAAACCTTCAAAAACATGCGGAAATCTCGCATGGAGCCAGATTTATATACACTCCCCTTAGTTTTGAGAGCCTGTGCTACTTTGGGCCAATTTAAACCAGGCCAAAAGCTCCATTGTTACTGTGAGAAGGTGGGTTCTTCGCGAAATGTATTTGTGGCCTCGGCTTTAGTCTTTTTCTATGCGAAATTCGGAGAAATTGATGCCGCGTGCCAAGTGTTTGATGAAATGACTCAGAGAGATCATGTGTTGTGGACCACCATGCTTTCGGGTTACGCGCAAATCGGAGATACTAGCAAGGCCTTGAGGGTGTTTAGAGAGATGATGAGAGAGAAAATTATGCTTGATCATGTGGTTATGGTTAGCCTGCTTCTGGTTTGCAGCCAATTGGGTTGGCTTAGACATGGGAAAAGTGTTCATTGTGTGATGGTTAAGGGGTTTTTGGGCATGAATTTGAGCTTGGCCAATGCCCTAATAGATGTGTATTCAAAATGTGGGGCCCCAAAGATAGCTCGAAGAGTATTTGATAAGATGCATGAGAGAGATGTGATTTCATGGAGCTCCATGATTGCAGGTTATGGTTTACATGGTCATGCAAAAAAGGCTTTAGACCTTTTCAAGACTATGCTTGATCATGATATCAAGCCCAATTCGATAACTTTTCTCGGGGCGTTATCTGCTTGTGTTCACGCTGGCATGGTCGATGAGGCAAAATTTTACTTAGAAATGATGAGAGAGAAGTATGGAATTGAGCCTGAATTGAAGCATTATGCTTGTTTGGTTGATGTTATGGGGAGGGTTGGGCTCATAGAGGAGGCCGAGAGGTTTATAGGGGAAATGCCTGTTGAGCCTGATGGAGCTGTATGGGGTGCTTTGCTAGGAGGTTGTAGGGTTCATAGTGAAGTCGAGGTTGGGGAGAGAGTGGTTAAGAGGGCATTGAGTCTCGACCCCGAAAGGGCTGGGTACTATGTTTTGATGGCGAATATATATGCAGAGGCTGGGAGGTTTGAGGATGCAGAGAGAGTGAGGGATTTCATGAAGGAGAGGAAAGTGGTGAAGATGCCTGGTTTTAGTGCTATTGAGATGGATAGGGATTCAAATCTGCATAGAAAGAGCCACGGAGTCTTGGCTTAATGGTTGGAGTGTAATGCTATTGAGATGGATATCAGATTTGAAGAGCCATGGAGTTCTGGCTCAGCGGTTGAGGCATGAGGCATGAGGCATGAGGCATGAGGCAAAGACTAGTATGTGCAGTTCTCATCTCACTTATAAACCGTCAACATTTTTTCTGTGCAGTCACAGCTAAATCGGTTTCTAAAATGACATTCAGAGAAGCCACTTAACCTCAAACTCGCCCTACCCCAAAATCCCACCAAGCTAGAGCGAAGCATGTTATAGGGTCGCATCCTCAAAAGCCCTTAGTATCGAGAGTTTCAAATCCCAGCTCGCCCATGAAGAAGAGAAATGTGATGAGATGCCTAGTTGTAGTGCTATTGAGATGGATTTGGATTCAGATCATTTTGGAAATATCTCATGACTTTGGCTTAGTGGTTGGAATGCAATTACTTAGGATTGGGAATTCAAGAGCTCAAGAATTTGGCCTTGGAGATTAGGGCTTAAGGCTACAAGATCAATGTTCAGAGGTTCTAGCTCACCGTGAAGAGAACGAACGTTGTGAAGATGCTTAGCATTTGATATTGAGAAGGCTGGGGATTCAAAAGAGCTCTAGTTTTTCATGGTGGTTAGGACAATGTCCAAGTTTCAAATTTTGTAGCCCTAGCTCTCATTTTTAAGTCAACCAGGCCGTCTGCCCTATTGCCAACCCTAATAAAGTGGATGTTCTTCATTCCTTCATGTTTTATAAGCAATCTTGAAGAAAAGGATATGCATTATTTTGCAATTGGGGAACAAAATTCATGTGATTACTAGATCAAAGTCTAAAGGTTCTAGCCACCATAAAGAGAAGGAATGTTGTGAAGATGCGTAGTGTTTAGAGTGTATATGATATTGAGAAGGCTGGGATACAAAAGAGCTCTAGTTTTCCTTGGTGGTTAGGACAATGTCCAAGTTTCAAAATTTGTAGCCCTAGCTCTTGTTTTTCAGGGATAAGCCAACTAGGCCGTCCGGTTTATTGCCAACCCTAATAAAGTGAACGTGCTTCATTCGTTTAGGTTTGATAAGCAATTTTGAGGAAAAAGAAGTTCATGAATTATTCAGCAATGGAGAAACAAGATTCATATAGCCAATATCATTTAATTGGGGTATAACACTCGAAAGATTTTGATGGAGAAACAAGATTCATATTGCCAATATCAATTAATAGGGGTGTAAGGCTCGGAAGATTTTTGATGGTATCACCACATTGTACCAATTGAGCTTTCACAAATGACAAACTAGGGTACCTGAGTATGAAGTCTCCTTTGGACATATTGATCATAAGCATGAGTGCTTATCAAGCATCAGTGCTTAGAGAGATATTGATATCCAATTATTTGGCTATATTTGTAGTAAGTGTTGTGGTCTTGCACCTCACACGTGCTTCTCTTGTAAGTTCTTTTTGAACTTTGAGGTCAATAACACTTGTATAATTTTCTGATTTGAAATTGTACAATACTGTTTGTGGCTTCTTTGTACTAAAAGTAAATGATAATTCTTTGTATGTTTTTCTTATTTTTTTTCTAAATTCTCATCTCTAAAATCTAACAAATGTGTTTGAGTTGTCACCTAAATCTTTATCCCATTCTAGATTTATTATAAAATAGTGTGTCACAGATAAAAAGTTGGAGACATCACAAAAAAAAATCAGTCAAATTTTTTTTTTTTGTAGAGAAAAAAAAAAAGCTTTTATGTTGCTAATTGTTTGTAAAAATTAGACAAAATTTGGAAAGACCATAAAAGTCGCAGTAGTGATTTTAAAGAAATGAAAAAGAAAAATGAAGTTTAATTAAACTTAACTATACAAAATATTAACTAAGGGAAATTATCATTAATATCCTACTAATTTTTTAAAAAATTGCATTACCTGATTTTCTCCTTTATTACACGAGTACCTTTTTTTTTTACATTTTTTTATACCCAAATTCCCTTATTAGGTACCTAATAGGCTTTAAAAATTTGTTAGATTTGTAAACCTCCTTTCTTATGCACAGGGAGCACCATTTGGGTGCTTGGAAGCCCTAAGCACCTATGTGGTACCCCCCAAGGGCCACGCTTCGTGATCCAAGCACCTAAATAGTACTTGGTGCTTGAGACTTTTACAGATTTGAAGGGTCCGTAAAGGTTAGGCATGCGATTGGGGCCTTCAACGGTAAATAAAAGATTCATCGATGACATGAGAGAGAACTTTTGCAGAGTCTCTCTCTCCTTGTAACCCACCTGTTGTCCTCTCATGTTGAGGACTTTAATGGCGTTTGAGTCATATGGGTTAAGGGGTCTCTCACTAAACCCACCATTTCTCTGCCATTAATAGTGCTTGTGTAATGTTTCAGGCCCACTATGACAAAACCAACCATGAAAGTTTCAGAGGTAGAGGCCATGCTTTCTTAAGCCCTTCTCTTCGTCATGGTTCCCCATTAACATAGAACGTTTTAACTAGAAAGCTAGAGAGAGAGAGAGAGAGAGAGAGAGAGAGAGAGAGGGGAAGGGAGAGAGGAGGGTACAAACCTAGAGAGAGAGAGCGAGAGGCAATATAACCCAAAAAAAGAAGGGGAAAAGGGGTGGGCTAAAGCCCCTAGAGGAGAGAAGGGAGATGTAAAAGGCAGAGAGAGAGAAGAAAACTGTAAAAAGATAAATAAATCTAAAAAATTTCAATTCTTTTAAGCAAAAGACATAAAAATTTTCATTTCTTGGCTGTTGTTATTGTATGAGGAGATGATAGTTCTTCCATTGATGATGCAGTAATGGGGAGAGAGAAAATGGAAGAAAATACAGAGAGAGAAAGGGAGTTTGGGGGAAGTGGAGAGAGAAGGAGAGAAGTTTGGAGAATAAGAGAGAGAGAGGGGGTTTGGGGAAAGTGGAGAGAGAAAGAGAGAAGTTTGGAGAATACGAAGAAAGAAAAATGACAGGGTTTAAAGAAAGTTTTTTTCATATTTGTTTGAACTAAAAATAGATTTAATGTAAGTAAAGTTAGTTAGGAGGTTAGAAGATAGATTTTAGAAAATGGGAAACTTTCTATGTTCCCACTAACATAGAACTTCTATCCTCCCCTACCATTCAGCCGTCTATTTTTTATCAATCTTAATCCGACGTCTCGAAGTATTTTATTTTTAGTCTTTTTAATACAAATTTTTTGAATATGAAATTTGGTATGTGCCATTTTTTCATTGGGGCGTACCTATAAAAAAATATTAATAATGATTTTTCTATAAAAAATAATGACCAAAATACTTTTTAAATTTTTTAGGGGTATTTTGGTCATTTTATTTTATATAAAAAAAATTATATTTTTCATTAGTGCCAATTTAATAGAGGAATGGACGTCCAAAATTTGGTGTCAAAATAGTTTATAGAAAAAAAAAATTAAAAATAAAACAGTAAAAAAACGTGACATTGTGATTGAGGCAATCTTAGCCCTCCATTAAGAAATGGACGGTTTGATAAGGAGAAGATATAACTTCTATGTTGTATGGGGAACATAGAAAGCTTTTCCTTAAAACCTTGGGTTTATTAAGAAATGAAACTTAAAAAGAAGAGGTATTAAAAAATAAAACTTAAAAATAAGAAGTATTGGAGATATTTTTTTTAGAAAAACTGAGTAGTGACTAATAAACAAGAAAATTAGAAATTGTTGAAAGAGCATGTAAACTATGCTCCATCAGACTCATAGATTACTTCTACTCCCCTAGTCAAAAGACCTGCTTGGGAGGAGAGGGAATAAATGGACATTATACTCCCATGGGAGTATAATATTGTTTGGCTCTAGAAAATTATAAAAATAATAGCCATAATTAATTTTGCCTAAAATTAATTTCCATTAATTCAATCCACATAAGGACTAACATTTTTTGTTCTTAACAATATTTGAATCGTATTTCCTTATCTTAAATTTTTTTTGTGTCGGATGCTCTAAAAAATGGATCAATGGAGGTCTTTTCATTCGAGTCAAAAAGATTATATGGCCCGCGGGTCCTTCATTCACTCCCTAGGAAAAGATCATATTTACGACCAGGATTTAAATAGGTCGGGTTGTCCTACGGGGTCATAGGGTCCACCCTATATGGGTTTGGGTTTGGACCAATGGTTTAAAAAACGGATCGGTGACCCGGATTGGGCTCCCAAAAAACAGATCCGGATCAACGAATCGGGGATCCGGATCGGGAATCGAGTGAATCGATCAGAATAAAGCTTAAAAAAAATCCAAAAAAGTTATTAAAATTTATTATAAATATTATTTTTTAGGAATTCAATAAGAAATGAGGGTACTCTATTAAGAATTTTCATGTTTTTGAATGAATATACGAATATTGATATGTTCTTTTCCTGTATGAATCGCCATTCAGCATTTAATTTATATCATACAAAAAGATAAACATAGAATTATCATGGAATAAGTATATCAACATACATAGACTACAATAAAACATAAAATTAATAACATATGATCTAAAAATAAAATGATAGACGACGTTATTGTTCTTCTTGGTCACGCTGGTGCCATTGATTGAATTCGTTTAACAATTCATTGATTCGATATAAAAACGAATCATCGATGTTAGCAGGCGTCTGACTATTCCCAAATCCCTGAGTGTTAATGTTTTGTTGTGTTCTCAATCTAAAATCCCCGAAGATTGTCCATCCTTCATGCTCACCTGCACTGTCATGATCATTCCTACACTGTTGCTGTTGGGACTCGATATGTGAATAATATGGCTGGAATAGGGTGGCCTCAGAATCATCATCTCTCTCATTTTCTCTTTGAATAATATGGAATTAAAAAAAAAAAAACAAATTTTCAAAAAAATC